TGGGGGGGGTTATAACCCCCCCCATCCCCCATGTAAATTACGCCGGTGGCTACTGTCACAATGATTTTTCAAACTAAAGCAGAAAACAAACTAGATAAAACCTTAAGATAGATTTCAAAATGCTAAGCGGAGGGTAAGCATGAAAACAAGTATTGGGAGGGTTACAAAAACCRGACACACTGAACCAGCTGTCACTGCTGGGATCGAGCAGCGCATTTAAGTCCCTACTATAAGGTATTCACCTGCAGATGTCTGGCCCTGATATGTTGGCTTAGATTAACTCTGGGCCTCCTGAGCAATTTAGTAGAATAGCCCTAATTTAAGTTTCTTTTATCTGGAGTCAACTGGTAGAATATCTCAAAAGCTGTTGGACCAGTTGAAGATGACTGGCACAGTAATTAGCACTATCAACACAGATTGCTTAATCCAGTTTTCTTRCCTTGTCATAGCAGAGTCATGTTGTCACATGAGCATTCATCTTGTGGTGGTTTGTTTACCCATCAACACGGTTTACTCATGTGGTTACTGATCAGATGAAATTGAGTTTTTAAGATTTTGTCTTGAAAGGCAGCAGGTGATGTGCAATCCTCTCAACTGTTGAATGTTCTGCAACATTTGTTTCATAAAGTATTTAAATGTTTGTCTTGCAAATATTTAGTTCTAGTGTAGTTTTGTTTGCATGGGCATTTTTTTAGAAAAATGAAATTGAAATGTTTAGCAACTTTTAAAAATTAACCCCCAGCTAATTTGGCAAAATTTAAAAACAAAACTAAAGTTGGATATTTAGGTCTGAAGGCAGTCTTGCATATTTAATGACTTTAAAAGACCCTGCTTCATTAACTCTTCCCTACAGAAGTCAGAGTATCTCCCACTAAGCTACATGGTAAAGGCAGCAAGCGGAAACTAGGTGACTTGGATGAGGATGACTCTGGAGAGGAAGATCATCCGACCTGGGTGGAGGTGCTGTGTACGGAGCTTCCAGATGAGGGCTCRGAGGATGATCCAGATTATACGGTCTGTACGAATGTCTGTTTTCTATGTGGACTTGTATTAAATGATCGTGCCCCACTTTTTTAATCTCATTCTGGAGCTCCTGCAAAGAATCTAATAAAAATGTCAAGGGTCAATTTTCTAACAAATGCATAAAAAAATAAATAAATAAAAAAAAAACTCGGGCAGAACTTTCTCACATCCTGACAACTTGATCTTTCTCCTCTTTCAGCCCAGCGATGTGGAAACTGACAGTGAGGAATATGCCAGTCAGAAYAACACAGAAAGTGAGCTTCAGACATCACAAGGAGAAAAGCTTCAGACAAAACAAGGAGAAAACGTAAATGTGGTGAGACTGCAACATTTTGATGAATCTGTATGAGACTGTGGCATTAACTGGACTTTTTGTTTATAGGTTACTGCTGAAGCTTCTGGTTCTAATTAATGTCATATTGACAGTAAACTATTTGTCTTGTACTTTTTTGATGATTCAATAAAAGTTTATATTTTTGTCTTGACATGGTGTGATTTGCCACTAGATGGCAGTGATTCAATTTAAATGGATGTGATGGTTGAATTGGTGCAGTGAAATGAACAAATGCATTTAAGATCAGCAGAAAATACACAATGCTATTTTAAACTCATTGGATCTTCAGTGCTGTAAGTCCTTATCTGACCATACTGATGCAATAGTACAAACCTTTCTAAATATGTCTAAATTGATCAAAGTAAACGGCTCCCAGCAGGTGAAGCACCATGTGACCCTCTAAAGGACAGCTGGTGCAGTTTTTCTGCTGCAGTCATCTTTCTGTTCAGGCTGTGTGGAACTGTTAAAGGCTCTGGGTGGCAGGATGCTGAAAGTATTCATGCCTCTACTTTCTGTCAAAGCTCTTGTTCCATTTCAGCGTTTATCAGGATTATAGGTGACACTTTGTGCTGTTATGAACATTTTTTTTAGAGACATGATAGATTATCTGYAGGAAAAGTCAAATTAAAATTGTATCTTCAGAGCTAAAACTAAACTTTCCTCTTTGTTTGTTCACCAGGTCCCCTTGCAACCTTTTAATTACTTTGTTTTACCAGCTTGTGTATCCATTTGTTGCGAAGTATAGAGACTCGTGTCACAGGTATAAAGAATATATTAGTGTACAAACTTCTAAATGATTTGAAATCGGAGCACATGACTCACTAGCTAGTTCAGCTGGTTTGGAACCCCTGCCCCCAAAATCAATGTCCATCCTATATTAAAGGGCAATCCTTAAGACTCCTCCCACACAAATGGATTTCTTTGTGCTACGGCTGCTGGCAAATTGTTAAAAATTTGGATTCAAAGGTAGATCTGATTAAGTTATTAGGATTACCAGATCTTATCACTAGACTTTATTTTTTTTTGTTTGCACTGCAGCCTGTTCAGTGTGACATTTTACCTGCACAGGGTCACCTCTAAATGTTTTTAGGTGAATTTTAGTATTTACAATTTTCTGGTTATTTTTCATGTTGCATGAAATTGAATATGTGGTATGATTTTGTTTCCATCTTTATTTCAGTTTTTATTTAAGCAGGGGCTGGATGACTTGAGTTAAAAGCTGTCACAATGATTTTCTTTAGCCTGTACAGTTTACTGTCACTGAAAAAAATCACTGACTGCTTTTTATTCAGGACCAACTGTCAGCTGGAAGCAGGGGGCTGATAATCTGTAGAAACAATACTACAGATACAAAGCAACAACGTGCTTGCTGCTTTTATTTGATGCCACATCTGTTGCAAAAACCTGATTACAAGCCTTAAAGCAAATGTCTTCATTAAATGTCTATTTCTTTTAATTTCAGCTGTTTTGCAGGAGTACTCAATTTGTCCATCTACTGTAAACATGACATGTTCATTTTGTAGGAGAGACATTCAACTAACTAAATGTCAACATCCAGCAGCTTTCAATGAATTCCTCAAAACTCTTGAGTTTGATTTGACTGTTCATTTCCCTTTTTGTTTTTCTTCAGATGTAAATTTCACCTCCAAATGTTTGGGTGAAAAGGTGGTCTGACTTAAAGCGTGTTGGTTTGAATTGAGTGTTTGTGAAGAGCAGCTGCAGCGAGAGCTGGATCCAGAAGAGGAACTGATGGTCTCTGGGGKGGTTCTCATGGCTGTCTGAACGTTTGAAGCGTAGCCTGCTCAGCGCAGAGCGTCAACCTCTTTCCGTTTGTAGCCAGCTGGAGACCCTCTTTAAAAAARCAAAACAAACGCTGCCTTCTGCTTTCAAAGTGTGATGTGAAAAAACCTTTACAAGACTAAAGGTTTTTGCAAACACATGATCATTTAGGGTTTCTACATTCTCAGGGAATTTTTAAATTAAACTTTATTGTAAGATGGAACAAAGTACAAAATAACTATCAGAGGGAATGAACATCTGTATGTAAGAATAAATATTACATAAAATGACAGTGATACAAAGTCAACAAAATGGAACCAGTCAGAACAAGATGAAATCAGGAAGTCCAAAAAGTAATAGTCCAACAGTTTAACATTTTAATGCACAATTGCAAGGAATTTAGGAATTTCATCTACAGTTCAAAAGATTCAGATAATCTAAACAAATCTCTGCAAGTAAGTGGTAAGGCCAAAACAACATTAAATGCCTGTGACCTTTGTTCCTTCAGGTAGCATCACAGTCCGTGGGCTAGGGTGGCTTACCATGCAC